GGCTCTGGCGGCGGCCTCCCTAGGGGATTTGCCGCGCGGGGCGGGCGACGCGCACTGCCCAGGCCTGCCGGCCTCCACCGCCACCTCCTTCCCTCCTACCCTCCAGCCCGGATCCCCAGCCCCCGCTCCCCCACCCCGTCCGCGCTCTCAGCCGCCTGACTCCGGCGGCTGCTGCAGCCCTGGAACTGAGCTTCTTGTTTGATGTCGCCCCCGCCCCCTCCCCCTCACTGCCCTTCCTCAGTCTCAGTCTCGGAGGAGGCCAGTGACGCCTGGCACACTTTCTCAGACACTTCATTCCATCCTTCCCCCTCACTCCCCACTGAGATAACGCTGTAAATGATTTCACCAGATCTCCCCCGGGCTGAGATTCAGTGGTTCCCGACTCTGGGTGACCTTGGGCAAGCCCCTTTCTTCTCGTTATGACACGTACTCCAATCGCTGCCAGACAGTGTTAAACCCAGGGATTACCGCGATGAGCGATACAGTGGCAGCCTGCAAGGAGTTTCCAGTCTCAGACCCTGCTTTTCTGATTGTTGGCGGGTCATTCCTCTACACCCTTTCTCTTAGGGCTGAGATGATGGCCTGAGTGGTCAGGAGAACCTAAAAGAAACACTGAACACGTGTGTGGGGCATAGTATTGATCGTCCGGAGGGTACAGGGGTGTGCAAAACAGTTACTGTGTGAGGAAGACCACCACCAATACGTACCTCAGAAGTGCAGCTTTCATCTATTTCCAGCATATTTTCTGGTAGGACCTAGGTTCACAGAGACAGTTAAATGCCTAGATGTAAAATGCAGTGGAGTTTTGGGATAATTACTCATAAATTGCATGTATCTTGAAAACTAAGATTGGAACATTGGAAATGGGAATCTTGGGGCTGGAGAGTGTGGGAGTACCCATGACATTAAAGACCTAGATCCTGGAACTTGGGGTCCTTATTCAGGGAACATTTTCAGGGGCCCAGGACAGGACAGGAGTTATAAGAAGAGACTGAATGAGGAGGCTTGTGGTCTTGCCACAAGACCCTTAAATATCTTGCTAAAAGACAGTGGAGAGTTGTGAAATGCTCTGGAGCAGAGAAGGGACATCAGAATTGTCCTTTAGAAAAGCCATTGCAGGGATTGAAGGCAGAGCTCCCAGTTAGAAGGTTCAAGACATTAAAGAAGGTTCCTGAGTGACAGGTGTAAAGGGACGCTCAACCCGGAAGCACCTGCCTAGAGCCAGCTCACCTGGGTGTTGACTGCTCACATCCAGTAGTGACCCAAGTTCAGTAGACCTGCCTATCTTTTATTTTTTATTATTATTATTTTTTATTTATTTATTTTGCCTATCTTTTAATATAATGTTCCCCACAACCTGGAGATTAAGAAATTGCAACGACTCTGACCCTATTTACCTTCCAAGTCTCATTTCACCTTCTAGGACAGCCCTCAAGTCTGCAGCCAAACCTTTACCTCATGGCAGGCTTAGTTTACTCTTCCCCCTCAGGCTACTCTGGGATTTTTTTTGTGTGTGTGTTTTCTTAACACTCTGCAGAGTGGGCTGTGCCCTATCATGTTCTGAAGAAATGATGAACAATGCCTCCTTTGTCAACCTGCAACCTGGGCCAACCAAGTAGGATTTTTCTTTCTTATTTTAAACAGATGGAAAGGTGGTGATGACAGAAAATTGTCTGTTGCTTTTGAAAAAAGTGGAGTTTCCCTGTGTCTTTGAAATCTACCTGACCAGAGGTGATGAGCCTATGTTGTCCTTCTTTCTGCCATGCAAACTTTGCACATTTCTTTAAATGCATCTGCTCAGCATCTTTAAAAAACACATAAAACACTTGCATAAATATATTGACCCAGATTCTTCTGAAGAGCTAAGCTCTTCCCAAGGATGCATGTTAACCCTTTCCAACTACCCCCTAAAATCTATGAGAGCCAATGACTTTCCCCTCTCACTTTCTGTGTCTGCTACTGCTGGGACCCAGTTAACTAGTTGGGTATGCCAACACGTGTCCCTTATAAGAGTCCATTTTTTGGTTTCTGACTCTGTCATCTGAGGATTTGAATCCTTGAAGGTGCATGGAGAATGTCCCATATAGTCAAGTTAGGGTCTCAGTGCAGTGCTTAAAGCAGACTTGTTGTCCAAAGAGTTAATCAGCATCTCATTTACCACCACTTTAGGAGTGCTCAGACTGGTAAAATGAGCAAATAACTTAGATACACACACACACACACACTTTTAGATAGAGAGGGATTAAGTAACCAAAAAAATTGTCACAAATATATGTCTGGGCCAAAATTCCCAAACAAAACCCTAAAACCCCATGAAATCTTTGCCCCTCCACCCTAACACTCAAAAAGACAGTTTCTTGCAAATGTGCTCGTAGATTATTTTTCAGTATCCTCAACATGGGCAATAAAATAGCACCAAATTGGCTCTCTGATGCTTTTGCAAGTGGGGAACGAAGCTCTTCAATTCAAGATATTTGGATTTGGAAGGCTTGTCTTATTTTTCAGTTATCCTTCCCCCTCTTCCAAAGCAAAGAGAAAATGGAAGCTTGTTCATTAGCAGAGGGCAATTTTTGATCCCACTGTGAGTCCAGCAGAGCACAAGGAGCCCTTCCCGCTGTATCATGTCCCATAAATACAGCCAGGGCTGCTGTGTTTGTCTCCTACCCCCCTCCTGCCCCCATGAAAGGTGATTTTCTCTGTCTTATTGCATCACCTGTTTGCTCTTAAACCATAAAACAAATAACTGCATCTCTAGTGAGACTCCCCTTTGTCCCTAGGTATCGGAATGGTTTGTGGGTTTTGTTTAAAGCTATAGAAAGGAGAGAGATCCAGAGAAGAAGAAAAAAGGTATTTTGCCTGAGGACTTGAAGCTTTTTTCCCCCTTTCCTCCGCTTGACTGACTTTCTCACACTCGGATTCCCTGCAGCCTGCCAGCGACGTGGTTTCTGCCCTGCCAAGAGCTATCCTGGGAGGGCTATTGAAAGAGCCTTGAGTAAGCACACACTGGGCGGATTTTCTCCTCCCTCAGTACCTGCTCCGCACCTGTACAGGGAGCAGTCCCACACATATCACCTGATCACAGCCCTTTCAGAGAC